TAGTATGCCTCTGTAGATAAGTAAATTATCTAATTTCAGTGAATATCTAGAGCCTTGTAGTGGGTGTGGCTGAGGAGCTCTGTTCAGTTCTCCAGGATGAAGGGCATGTCTAAGGTGACACAGCTGGATTTGGCAGGGTAAATCGCCTCTTTTTTTTTTTTCAACCAGAAGGGAAGTTTATTCTGCTCAGCTGAGTTCTTCTCCTCAAAGGAGACCAGTGCCTGAGCCCTTGCCCCAGTGGGTGCAATAGTCATCTGTCTGCCCCAAGGACCACACAAAGGATCTGTGCAGTCTTCACTTTAAGTTCAGATTCCCAGCAATGTCCCTCACCAGGAAGCCCTGAGCGTGTGGAGTCTCCAACAGTGACTGCCCAAAGTCCCAGCCGCACGGTGAGTCCTCCCACACAGCCTCAGTTTTTTCACAGTCCTGGCATAGAAGCCTCCCACAATCACAAGCTTCCAGTCCCATGAATTCTCCTGACCAGAGTCCGGAGTCCACACTTGGTTGGTTGCTAGGTGTGAACATGAACTGGCACAGCTGTTATGTATATCCAAAATTGCACCTGCTCTTTGGGCTTGTTATAGGACATCATTGTAAAGTGAGCAGGGAGAGAGAAATGTATCCCTCCATTTTTCCCCCTCTCTTTTGACAGTTACACTGTCCCCCACAGGGCTCCAAGCTGGGTTCGCTCTAGGCACTTCCTGCAGCTTTAGTGCCAATGGCTTGAGTTGCTGTGGTCTAGTCTCACCTCACTTTCCAATGCTGTTGCATAGACTCTTGGCTGTTGGAGTCAGGAGTTGTGGGCATCCACACCCTCCATGTAGTTCCAATGTGTCCCTCTAATCTGCACAGAGTTTTCTCTGCTGTTTTCTCCCTATTTCCTGAGATTACACTCTCCTCACTTTTTTTAAACTATTTTCTCCTGGACTAGAGCAGTAAGCTCCTCCCTACTCTGCCATCTTGGAACTCCGTCTGTTGTTGAGTTTCTTGAGCTCCTTATATATCCTGGCTATCAATCTTTTATCAGATGTACAGTTTGAAAATATGTTCTCCTAGGCTGCCAGTTGCCTCTTTATTGAGTGTTTGCTTTGCTGTGCAGAAACTTCTTAGTTTGAAGTAATCACATTTGTCTATTATTACCTTTATTGCCTGTGCATCTGATATCTTTTCCAAGAAGTCAAGCTTATGTCAATGTATTGCATAATGTTCTCTGTGTTTTCCTCTAGTAATTTGATAGTTTCAGGCCTTAGATTTAGATCCCTGATCCATTGTGAGTTGATTTTTGTATAACATGTAAGGTAGGGGAATTGTTTCTTACCTCTGCATGTAGAAATGCAGTTTTCACAGCGCCATTTGTTGGAGAGAGTTCTTTCACTAGGGAGTGATATTTGGTTTGTTTGTCAAAAATAGTTTATTATAGATGCATGGATTAATTTCTGGGGTTTCTAATTTGTTCCATTGTTGCCCATGTATATTCTTGTGCCAGAACCTGGCTGATTTCATTAAAACTGCCCAATAATATGTCTTGAAATCTGGGAATGTCATGCCTCTTGCTCTATTTTTATTGTAGGATTGTTTTAACTATTTAGGCTGCTTGTGATTCTATGTGAATTTTAAGGTCTTTTTTTTGTGTGTGTGGATCTGAGAACATTTTTGGATTTTTGATTGGGATTACATTGAATCTGTAAATTGCTTTGTGCAGTATTGAAATTTTTTGTTATTTATTTACTTATTTGAAAGTCAAAATTATAGAAAGGGAGGGAGACAGAGAGATCTTCCTTCCACTGATTCCCTCCCCACATGGCCGCAATGGCCAGAGCTGAGCTGATCTAAAGCCAGGAGCCAGGAGGTTCTTCTGGGTCTCTAACATGGGCCGAGGGGCCTAAGCACTTGGGCTATCCTGCACTTTTTTCCCAGGCCATTAGCAAGGATCAGAAGTAGAGTAGCTGGGGCTCAAACTGGTGCCTATATGGGATGGTGGCACAGCAGACAGCAGCTTAACCTCCTATACCACAGTGCTGGCCCCGTATTGACATTTTGATGATATTGATTCTTTGAGTCCATAGACATGGCAGATTTTCGCATCATTTGGTGCCTTCTTCATATCTTTCCCTAATGTTTTGTAATCTTTATCATAGAGATCTTCTACTTCCTTGGTTAAATTTTTCCCAAGATATTTAAAGTTTTGTAGCTATTGTGAATGGGACTGATCTAATAAGTTCTTTTTCAGCCATGGTACTGTTTGTGTACACACAGGCTATTGAAATTTGAATGTTGATTTTTATATTCTGCAACTTTGCCAAACCTGAATGAGTTCCATTAGTCTCTTAGTAGAATTTTTGGTTACCCTATCTATAGAATCATGTCTTCTGCAAACAGGGATATTTTGACTTCTCCTTTCCAATTTGTATCCCTTTGATTTCTTTTTCTTGCTTAATGTCTGTCCAAAATTTACATAGCTATACTGAATAGCAATGTTGAAATGGGCATCCTTGTCTGGTTGTGAATCTTAGTGGAAATGCTTCCAACTTTCCCCATTCAATATGAAGCGGGATGTGGGTTTGTCATAAATTGCCTTTATTGTGTGGGGAATGTTTCTTCCATACCCAATTTACTTAAGATTTTTTTTTGCTTTTTTTTTAACTTTTATTTAATAAATTTCCAAAGTACAGCTCTTGGATTACGATGGCTTTTTACCCCCGATAACCTCCCTCCCACCCACAACCGTCCCATCTCCCACTCCCTCTCCCATTCCATTTACATCAAGATTCATTTTCAATTATCTTCATTTACAGAAGATCAATTTAGCATATATTAAGTAAAGATTTCAACTGTTTGCACCCACAGAGAAACACAAAGTGTAAAGTACTATTTGAGTACCAGTTATAGCATTAATTCACATTGTGCAACACATTAAGGACAGAGATCCTACATGGGGAGTAAGTGCACAGTGACTCCTGTTGTTAACTTAACAAATTGAAACTCTTGTTTATGGCGCCAGTAATCACCATAGGCTCTAGTCATGAGTTGCCAAGGCTATGGAAGCCTTTTGAGTTCACCAGCTCCAATTATTTAGACAAGGTCATAGTCAAAGTGGAAGTTCTCTTTTATCATAAAAGGATATCATATTTTATTAAATATTTTCCTTGCATCTATTGAGATAATCTCTGCCATCTTCAGATATTCTTAGTTCACCAAATCAGAATGTTCACTCTTCCTTAATGACCCTGACCCTATTACTTTCATGCCTTTATTGCTTAGTGCACACTCTTCCCTACCTGAAATAATCATCTTCCTTTTTCCCCTGTCATGGTATCACTCAATCATCTCCCTCTAATGCAGCACTCCCCATTATACAGATTTCCCCTCTGTCTTCTCCGTTTGGCTGAATCTTCTGTTCATTGCCCTGTTCAGAATTATTCTGTTCTTTGCCCTCATTTAAAATCTCTAACTTCCACTCTTAAATGTGCAAGATTTTTCCAGATAAATATAGAAATAAATGAAAGATAGATTCTCCTTCTTCAAAAGGTTCCTTAATGTATTTTAAGAGACAGAACTTAAAAATATACAACATTAATAAAAACAAGTATGACAAGAGCAGTCTAAGGTAATTTGAAGGCAAAGGCCTTGTCATACTCGTTTGCCATTGTCCATAATGCCTATCGCTTTATCCTTTACATATGAAGTGCTTCTGTGTGTTTAACTGAATAATCCCAAATAACTTCATTAATATTGTATATGGAAACAGTTTATTATGGACATGTGTCACATAAGTCTGGCTATTTCTGGTCTTGGTATCCTTTTTCCCATCTTCTAATATTTCATGGCTTTGTAAACTCATTAGTATTAAAAGGTCATTTCTGGTATACTTCCACTGGGCTCTAAATTTGTAAAGTGGTGCTGTGCAAAACATATAGCATGGTCTTTTATATTAGAGGGGCTGATGCTGTGGCACAGTGGGTAAATCCGCCACCTGTAGAGTGCCGGCATTCCACATGGGTGCCAGTTCAAGTTTCGGCTGATCCAGCTCTCTGTTATGGCCTAGGAAAGCAGTGGAAGATGGCCCAATTCCTTTGGCCCTTGCACCCATGTGGGAGACCTGGAAGAATATCCTGGCTCCTGCCTTCGGATTAGCCCAGCTCTGGTTTTGCAGCTCTAGCTGTTGTGGCCGTCTGGGGAGTGAACCAGCAGATGGAAGACCGACCTCCCTCCCTCCCTCCCTCCCTCCCTCTCTCCCTCCCTCTTTCTCTTTCTCTGCCTCTCTCTAACTCTTCCCTTCAAATAAATAAATAAATCTTTAAAATAAAGGAAAATTTAGAGTGGAAAAAAGTTACATTTTTGTAAAAACTGATGAAAAGAGGGGAGGGAGGGAGAGCTGCAAAAGGGAGAAAAGTGTGTTTTTCTTCTTGGAACCACACCTATAGTTAGCATGAAATTTGTTCCCTTTATATTAATAAAATAATAATAATAAAATTTCAATTTATTATGGAATTTAACAATTGGTATGAGGAAAATTATATAGCAGGTATCAATACCAAATTCTTTTTTTCAAGATTCATTTAATTTGAAAACCAGAGTTGGGGAGAGTGAGGGAAAGAGAGAAAGATCGCTCACGTGCTGGTTCACTCCCCAGATGGCCACAATAGCCAGTGCTGAGACAGGCCAAAGCCAGGAGCCAAGAGCTTTTTCTGGATCACCCACATGAGTGGCAAGTACCCAAACACGTGAGCGATCTTTTGCTGCTTTTCCCAGGCTAATAGGAGAGAGAGGGATCCAAAGTGGAGCAACAAGGACACAGGATTCAGTGGGGGAATAATATGGCAGCCATTGGAGAGTGAACCAATGGCAAAAGGAAGACCTTTCTCTCTGTCTCTCTCTCTCACTGTCCACTCTGCCTGTCAAGAAAAAAAAATATATATATGGCTTGTTCTTCTAGTTTTTGAATAAGTGTTACAGCAGTGTTACAGCACATACATGTCATTCATGTCTCTGTTTTGCAGTCACCACTCAGCATTCGTGGTTCATTGTTTTCTGCAAGGCGCAGCAGCAGAACAAGTCTTTTCAGTTTCAAGGGTCGAGGAAAAGATATAGGATCTGAGACTGAATTTGCAGATGATGAGCACAGCATTTTTGGAGACAATGAGAGCAGAAGGGGCTCACTCTTCGTGCCCCAAAGACCCCAGGAGCGTCGCAGCAGTAACCTCAGCCAAGCCAGTAGGTCCCCCCCAATGCTGCAGATGAACGGGAAGATGCACAGTGCCGTGGACTGCAATGGTGTGGTCTCCCTGGTTGATGGACCCTCAGCCCTCATGCTCCCCAATGGACAGCTTCTGCCAGAGGTGATAATAGATAAGGCAACTTCTGATGACAGCGTAAGGACATTTTATATAGCTCAGGCATGGCTGAGCCCTTTTTCCTGCATCAGTCACTCTCTCTGCTGGAGGGACCTTCTCTCTCTGGTTCTGTGAATGGCTCTGCATTTTACAACACTTTCTTTAGAAACACATCGTTAACTCATTAACTGAATACTCATACTATGCATTGTAGGAGTCTAATTCAATGATCTCATTTAAAAAATAACCATTTATCTATTGATTTTTAGCTGACTGTAGATCACTAATTTAGACAATTTTCAGATATTAAAGGCATTGATAGTGCTGACCTTATGAACTGATAATAGGCTCTTTTCTATAAAGAAATTTGGTTACCGTCTATGAAGAAAAACAAAGTAACTGAAACATATTCATTTATACAAGCAAGCAGACAGAAAAACAAAAACAAAAAATCTTCAAAACAACTCCAGGAGTTTGAGAGTCACTGGGTAGTTGGAGAAAAACAATTAGGCTTGAAAGTGAGGTCTTACTGATTCCTGGGGTTTCCAGGACACCTCTTTAGTCCGCTCTCTATACTATGCTCTAATAGTAAATGTCAGCAGGAGCTTTGACTAAGCCAACAAACTTTGAACATATACTACATGTTTATATATTCATATTTGAAGAAAATGTAGCATCTCAACTGAGATTACCGTTCCATCAAAGCCATGGCCACACACCTATTTCAGTTTGAATGAATGCATGTACTTTTAGGTTGAATATGTGACCTCTATGCTTGCATGATACAGCTTAACCCCTTTTGTCCAGACATTTTTCCTTATGAAATGAGCATGCTAACTTTGTATGGAATTGGACTTTTGTTGTGTTTTGTTTTTCATTGGTTATTTAATATATAATATATAATGTATAATATTTATGCAATATATATAAAATATAACTCATATTTTGAGATTATTTCTAACTTTTAAATGAAGTATTTTTAGAGTTTTTTACCATAGACAAATCAATTTCACAATAAATCTTAAAAGTAAAACAAAAAGTATAGAAATTAGCAGATACTTTCAAGAACCAATAGAAAAGCAAGAAACAAAAAAGTGTAACAAAATATACAGTCAAAATAAAAACATTATATGACTAATAATCTGCTCTAATCTAATATTAGCATGTTATAATAGTATTATATACCATGTTTTATAATATTATAATCTCTAGTTCTGAAACCTATCTGTTCTGAAACCTATCTGTACCCAAAATAAATTGGTTTATTGAACAAATATGACTTGGAGAAAAAAACAAAAAACTTTGCTTCTGGAAAGTCAGTAAATTAGAGACTATACCAGAGAGAACATGGGTATAGAGACTTCTGAAAAACGTCATTTTCAGTTCTACATATGTGTCTGTACATAAAAAAATATGTGATATATACATACATAAGTGCATATTTATGGCTATATGTTTGGTAAACACACATGTATGTCTGTACACATATAACTCTAGACCTGTATATGTTTGTAAAGTTTATCTACCACATATCACATATAAGAAGACAAATAGTTGATAGGAATAAAATTGCAGTTATTTATATGTGTATATATAAATATGTATGTGTGTGTGTTGGCCTGCACCAAACTAGCATAATGTTTCAAATTTAAATTAAAATCTAAGCTTTAAAAATAAGATACTTTCATGTAAAAGTGAACATGCTTGGGATGCCTGAGTTTATATTACTGCTCGGAGCAATTTTTAGAGCAGAATTGTGGGCGCCTCTTTCAGATGGAGTTTGCGTTCTCCATTTCACTATACTTTGTCACTTTGCAAAATCTGTCATTTGTCATCAAATTTTCAGCTTAGCTCACGAGGTGTTCTCTCCAGTAAGAAAGTGATTACTGTAGACTTCATTACTATTATTACTTCAACAAAGAATAATTGCAGTAAGTTATCAGAGAACACTGAGGTTCCATCCCTTTGTAAACAGAGCACTACAACACGTTTAGTTGTTCTCCTGTAGAACTCTTACATGGTAAAATTATTTGAATAAATTGGACACTAAGGAAGATAGATCATGATGATAATATAATAAAAGCAGCTGTATTTGTATTTTATAAATATTAACTCCCTTAATCCTCATAAGAATATAAAGAAAGCATTATTATCCCCATTTTACAAATGTTGAACCTGAGACAGTTAATAAATGGTATGATATAAAAGCAGTAGTAGCAGAGACATAATTCAAAAATTAATCTCTACTTCAATTACTCAGTACAGCTAATGAAGCACAGATTTATCTTGTGCCTATAATTTATTAGAATTCTATTCATAATATTTTCATTAATCATCCTTTTTCCCCAGGGTACAACCCAAATACGCAAAAAAAGGCGTTCCAGTTCCTATCTCCTTTCAGAAGATATGCTGAATGATCCTCATCTTAGACAAAGAGCTATGAGTAGAGCAAGCATACTAACAAACACTGTAGAAGGTATGTGATAATACTCTTTATCATATAGATTCTTAAATAAAAATTGATTTGAATTCTGGTCAGCCTTTTTCTTTTAATGAGTTTATTTATTTTTTTGAGAGGCAGAGTTACAGACAGAGCGGGAGAGACAGAGAGAATGGTCTTCCATCTGCTGGTTCACTCCCCAAACGGCTATAACATGGGAACTGAGTGGATCTGAAGCAGGACCAGGAGCTTCTTCTGGATCTCCCACGTGGGTGCAAGGGCCCAAGCACTTGAGACATCTTCTACTGCTTGCCCAGGCACACCAGCAGGGAGTTGGTTTAGAAGTGAGCAGCTGGAACATGAACATATGGGATGCCGGAGCCACAGGTGGAGGCTTAATGTACCACACCACAGCACCAGCCCCCCCTGGCCATCTTTAAAGAGGCACATGAAGTTCTTAGGAAGCATTCAAAGAATATATATATATATATTCAAAAGATATATATATATATATATATTCAAAGAATATATATATATATATACACACACACACACCCCACACACACACTTTAAGAAATGCTAAAGATAACCAATAGATACTGATAGAATAGTTTTTTATGTTCTTAAAAGTGGTTAAAGGTATTTTTGACTACAAATAAGTATTGGATAATATAAAAATTGAAAAATAAATAATAGTTGATATGGAACACTAGGTTAACTCAGCCACACAACCCTATCACTGTGTGATCTTAGAGAGTACCTAGTCTCTCAATATTGTTTAATAAGTCAAGAGTCGAAGAGTGCCAGTGTTTTTTAAAAATGTGCTGGCTTCCATCCTCTTATGCCACAGTGTATACTAGGTCATAACTTAACATGGGTTAACCACCATGGGCCAAAACTTCTACCTAAATTTATGATCAGAAGCAAATGGGTTAATAGTGTGAAATGTTGGCCCGCGTCTTGGCTCACTTGGTTAATCCTCCGCCTGCAGCGCCAGCATCCCATATGGGCACTGGTTCCAGTCCTGGTTGCTCCTCTTCCAGTCCAGTTCTCTGCTGTGGCCCGGGAGGGCAGTGGAGGATGGCACGAGTGCTTGGGCCCCTGCGCCTGCATGGGATACTAGAAGGAAGCACCTGGCTCCTGGCTTCAGATTGGCACAGTGCCACTGTAGCGGCCATTTGGGGTGTGAACCAACGGAAGGAAGACCTTTCTCTCTATTTCTCCCTCCCTTTCTCCCTCCCTCCCTCCCTCTCTCTCTCTGTCTCTCTCTCTGTCTATAACTCTACCTATCAAATAAAAAAAAAATAGTGTGAAATGTCTATTGCATGAGCCGTTCCATAAATTATTTTGGTATCTTGGTTTTGGAATTGTCTTTACCTGTGAGCTACCAAGAACTTTTTCTGCATGGAACAGAATTGTCTCCTTGTTGTGTGGCATTAAATGCACAAGGAAAAATATGTATATTTTGTGGAAAATATGTATTTCTCCACTAGGGAAACGCCAGTTCTGTTTGCTGTCACATTAGGTATATTTTTCTCTGAGAGAATCGCACATACTAGCTTTCAGTCATTCATTTCACTGCATTCTCACTTGTGCTTAATCCAGTTATGTGATACAAAACTTTCACATAATATGCTAAGATTTCATAGAAACAATCCTGTTACATTTGCAAAGTCTAAATCTCATCCCTTGGTGTGGGTATTTGGTAGAGCCAGTTGAGACATTGCTAGTAATGCCATACCTTATGCCAGAGTGCTGGGTTCAATTCCTGGTTCTGCTCCTGACACCAGCTTCTTGCTAATACACACCCTGGGAGGCAGCTGATGATGGCTCAAATATTTGAATCCCTGCCACACCTGTGGAAGACCTGGATTGAGTTCCCAGCTTCTGTCTTCAACCTGGCTCAGTCCTAGCCATTGAGGGTATTTGAGGGAATATATCAGTGGATGGATTCCTCGTGTGTCTGTCTCTCTGCCTTGCACATAAATAAATAAGTAAACATTAAGAAAATCACAAGCCTTGTTTGAATGTTAGAATTTACTTCTGCTTAGGAATAAAATATACAATGATTAACTGCATGTTCTCTATATTGTTTTTTTTCCTCCAGAACTTGAAGAATCTAGACAAAAATGTCCATCATGGTGGTACAGATTTGCACACACATTCTTGATCTGGAATTGCTCTCCATTTTGGATAAAATTCAAAAAGTTTATCTATATTATTGTAATGGATCCTTTTGTAGATCTTGCAATTACTATTTGCATTGTTTTGAACACATTATTTATGGCCATGGAGCACCATCCAATGACTGAAGAATTCAAAAATGTTCTGGTTGTGGGGAATTTGGTGAGTATCATGGCTGTCATCATTGTGATTCTGTTTTTCTTAAGTCAGATGTATCTGCAGCTTGCATATCTAGGATTTACCACATGAATCAATGAGCAAAGTCAAATTTCATATATACTATATATACTCATATATACTATTTCAAAATAACATTGCTGTCATGTTGAAGTCTATAAATAACACTACTTACTGCTCGTATTTCTGCAATATGTCACCACCTTTGGAGTTACAATGTTTGTTGTTTTTCTTTCTGCCAGCCTACTTCTTGTGAGCAACATTTTGAAAATTCCATGCTTTCTTTCATTGTGTAATCACATTACAGCTTCCTTTTAATTTAATTAAGCATCCCATACACCATGGATACATTAGTTTGACACAACAGTAGTGAAATATCTGGGTCTTTGGAGTCCCAAAGATCTGATTTGAATCCTGATCCTGATCCTGCCTTTTACTAGTTCTGTGGCATAAGACCTATATTCCAAATATTATCCAGAAGTTAAATATTTCAACTTTCTTGTGGGGAGCAACTCGGACTGGACTGAGTTACTGGAATTAAGACTTTTTCTATGCATCTGCTCTCCCACAATATGGCGCTGGGAGAGGAGAAAACAGCTTCTATGCAGCTGCCTCTTGCCAACTTGAGTGATGACCTCCAGGAGCTGATCCTGCTCCTGATTGGGGGAGAGCAGCGTACTCGGCGTGTGGGCAGCCGAGTTGGGATTGGCGGAAGAGGACTATAAAGGAGGAGAGAGACAACATGCACCAGGAACATCTATCTGAAGGAACACCTGTGCAGCCCCCGAGAGAGCCGGCCGGCGGTGTGCCGCTCCCCCGCGGAAGTGGGGAATGTGGCAGGGGGAACTGCCCTTCCACGGAGGTGGAAGGGTCGGCAGCCAACCCGGGAAGAACCAGCAGCAAACCCGGGGAGGGCCGAGCAGACAGAAGAACAGCGCAGGGTCCTGTGTCGTTCCTCCACGAAGAGGGGGAGCGACATAATGGTGCCGTGACTCGGATGTGAAGCCTAGGCAGGGTTTAGTGTCGTTCCTCCAAGAAGAGGGGAAGCGACACTTTCTGAGTTAGCATTCCTTTCTTTCTGTTCATCTTTGGGGGAAAGGCAGGATCAGTTAGTTTCTACTTGTTCATGGAAGTCCAGTTCATGCAAAACAGTTTCTTTCCACTGAGTTGAAGGCACCCCTGTGAACTTAAAGAGGATTTGCCGTATTTCTTATATATTACCACAGCCACATGTTCAAATGCTCCATTTTAATCTTCTTGATGCTACATTATTTTAAAATGGTCTTTCACAGTTACAGCCCCAAGTGTAATCCTTTGAACTTTCTCTGGTTAGATTCTTTGAGTCAGAGCATGCCTGAATGATTCATAAACAAGTCTTCAAGGATTGCCTTTTTAAGTGAGTCCTTTGATACCAGTGTCATGAATTAATGATGTTTTGCAATGCATTTTTGTGTCAAAACGTTGGAAGTCTAACTTTAGCTTCCACTGTGTCAATTAAATACATTTTACTCTTCTAGTGATAAATCTTTAAAGAGTGAGATGACATGTTCTTTATTGCTCTCAGAGTACTTAGATCAGGAAAAAGGACTTGCTCCAAATTTCAATATCAATCTGTTTCCCTTTTCTTTCTTTCAGAATCTGTTGACTTGTATGTTTTTTCAAAGAGTAACTGTGTTGTCAAACGTCTTACTTTTCTGAATTTAAAATGCTTTTATAAAATTCCATCTAAACATAATGAGAACTGTGAGGACAGAGCTTTTTAACTCAATGAGGCTTATGAGAGCAAGAGAAATAGTGATAACCTAGTTTATAGAATTAAATGAGATGACTATGTAAATTGTCTAGCACTTTGGAAAATAGTGTTTTCTAAACAAATAAGTCATTGTTCACTGTCATCATATGTTGATTCCATATCTTCAAGTAATGATACAAAACACATTGTATTTCTCACTTAGGTCTTTACTGGAATCTTTGCAGCTGAAATGGTTTTAAAACTAATTGCAATGGATCCGTATGAGTATTTCCAAGTAGGCTGGAATGTTTTTGACAGTCTTATTGTGACTCTAAGTTTAGTGGAGCTTTTTCTAGCAGATGTGGAAGGATTGTCTGTTCTGCGATCATTCAGATTGGTAAATATGAACTAATCTTACCATTATATTCTATAATAAAGACATGTTTCTTTGTTCTATGCATTACTTTATTATTGAAAATCTGGGGATTCTTGAGAATGAGAATTAAAGGCAAGATTAAGGTATTGATATCTACTAAAATAGCATTCATTAACAAATGCATTTTAACAGTAAAAATTGAATGTATATCTTAATTTTAGGATCCTGAAAACAAATCCAGTTCTTATCTGAAGTATATATTTTCTTTACTCACTAAGGTGATAATTTGTTTCACAGTGAAAGCTTATGGTTTACATAAGCTCATAACTTTATGGATTTGATAATTAGAGATTAAGTCATTATCCTCCAAACAACTATTGTCTGTTACAAAAAGATTAAAGTAAATGGACTACTTCACCCCGAAAATTTCACCCCTAAATTATTGGGCTAAATTCAGATGTCTAAATGAAAAAAATTATAAAAGTATTAGAAAATAAAATCAATGATAGAGGCTGGCGCCGTGGCGCACTAGATTAATCCTCTGCCTGCAGCGCCTGTATCCCATATGGGCACCGGGTTCCTGTCCCAGTTGCTCCTCTTCCAGTCCAGCTCTCTGCTGTGGCCTGAGAAGGCAGTGGAGCATGGCCCAAGTGCTTGGGCCCCTGCACCTGCTTGGGAGACCAGAAAGAGGCACTTGGCTCCTGGCTTCGGATTGGCGTAGCTCCGGCTGTTGCGGCCATTTGGGGGGTGAACCAGCAGATGGAAGACCTTTCTCTCTGTCTCTTTCTCTCTCCCTTTCTCTAACTCTACCTGTCAAATAAATAAATAAAATTCTTTAAAAAAATCAACGATAAAGTACCAGTTGAAAAAAAAATCAACACTTAAAACCATGGTAAGAACCTTCTACAGCAATCTTGAGCTAAAATTAAACACTTCTTCCAGGATGTATTTTGTAATTATATTGTGGCAAGTACAGAGAAAACTAGAAATATTGAAAATATAAAATAGAAATAATTGATTGAAGCCAAATAAAAATAACAGTTATATGACAGTCTATTTTAAATTTGGAACAAAAAGTAAGCTAGGAAACACTGAAAACTTTTTTCATAATGACTAACGTTAAGCTTTATCTTTACTTTTAGCTCCGAGTGTTCAAGTTGGCAAAATCGTGGCCAACACTGAACATGCTGATAAAGATCATTGGTAACTCAGTGGGGGCGCTGGGAAACCTCACATTGGTATTGGCCATCATCGTCTTCATTTTTGCTGTGGTCGGCATGCAGCTCTTTGGTAAAAGTTACAAGGAATGTGTCTGCAAGATCAATGATGACTGTTCTCTCCCACGATGGCACATGAATGATTTCTTTCACTCCTTCCTGATCGTGTTCCGTGTCCTATGTGGAGAGTGGATAGAGACCATGTGGGACTGTATGGAAGTCGCTGGCCAAGCTATGTGTCTTATTGTTTACATGATGGTCATGGTGATTGGAAACTTAGTGGTATGTAATCAGATATTCATGTCCTTAATATTATCACATGAAATGGTATATTAAAACCTTAGAGTTAACTAAATCTAAGATTATTAACTGGTATGGAGAAAAATAGGAAACAAAATATTGTAATTTCCCTGGCCAGATAACCTACAATTAACTTTTTCTAATTTCCCTCTATTTATTTTAATGTAAAACCATCCACTATATTCTCTCATTTTGATAACTGGTTCCATTCCATCAGTTGGTAGTCTTGTGATATGAATTAACTCTGTGGTTTTCTTATTCCTTAAAAATATATTCAGATATCAAGCTATCCTGGTAAATAGTACATGATTCTGTTAACAATAACAAAAATGAAGTTATTTTGGACCACAGAAAATAAAAGGACTTGTCTCACAATCCTGAAGTCACATATAAGACTTTCTATAAGTCACATACAAGCATCTATATCCAGGATCATTAAATTATGGTCCATGGGCCAAATGCAGTCCAATGCCTGTTTTTAGATGGCCTTGAAAGGTAACAGTGATTACTGCATTTTTCAGTGGTTAATAAAATGAGAAGAATAATACTTTATCACATTTGTACATTAAATGAAATTCAGAATTCACTGTCTATAGAAAACTTTTCTTAAGATGTGGACATGTTAATTCATTTACATTTTATTTACAGTTGCTTTTATACTATACGGGCAGAGGTGAGTAGTTATAATAAAGACTGTCCTATAAAGCCTAAAAAAATTTATTATCTGGTCCATAACAGAGGAAGTTTGCCAACTACTGGTTTATAGCTTTTCTTTATCCATCTTCCTATATTTTAATGAAGGTATCTTGACTTATTTTTCTTTTCTGTGTCTTTCTTCTTTGTATTGGTTGATTAAAACTTTCTAGATTAAAGAAGGAAAAAAATCGAGATAAAGTGTGCTTCTGTGAGCCACTTACCTTCATATAACTCAGGTTAAATGGTCTCAATTGGTCAGTTTGGCATAAACCTCACATCAGGTATGGTAACAGCCATATGACAAATACCTTCACTTCTCACTGGCTTGAAAAGAAGTGCTAAATTATTTTCCTTGCATCTGTCATATTACAAGTGCTTCAAAGGACAGACACAGACACACATTCATCACATCACATATGTATGAGGCACAGTGCAGATGCACACATTGTGAAATATCCAATATTCTGGACATATCAGAAATGTACATCATGAATCCTAACTCTATAATTCTTAATAATCCTCAAGTTGCATATGATAATAAATAAATAAATTTCCCAATTTTGTATAGTCTTACAAATCCCTTCCAACACAGAATAAAATATACATACCCTTTGGTTCTTCTGAGTTTGTTTCTTATTCTTAAGTTCCCGTAGAAAGATTGGTTTGTTTGTTTCTTCTTAGAATTTTTTGACATAAACTATTGAAGTTGTGGGAGTTATAAATTGTAAAAATATGTCACATTAAAGGTATACCAAAAGTAACTTAAATATGTAAATACTTATTCAGGCATCTGCAGAAGCAGGTAGATTTCTTAAGCTCTCAACAAGTTAATCATTCAAAATTCTTTAGTATCTTCTTATGAAAAGAAATGTATTTAGGTATTATTTAGATGGAAGGCATTGTTTAGGTATTATTTAAGTAAGAATACAGCAAAAATAATTATGTACTAGGCCTTGTCCTCAAGATGATTATACTCTATTAGGACAAAGAAAACTTGTTCACAAAAATTATCGGTCAAGGAAGAGGGGGTAGTGCTAGCTATGAGGTTAAAATAAAATGCACTTAACACTTGGAAAATAAAAATAAATTCTTGGCTGGGTTTCCAGGACAGTATTGCAGTGAGTCTTTGAAGAATATTTAACATTTTAACTTGAGTACAGATGTGAGAATGATGTTTTTCTTTGAAAGGCAATATAGATTTCTAGTAAAAATATTAGGGTACATTGTAGAGTCTTTATATGGAATTTGTGATGACTAACATACTGTTATTCATTAATTTTCTATCATGGTAATGAAAGAAAATGGAAGTATAATTCAGAAAGTTCACAAGCAAAATTGAATAATTAAAGAACTAGCAAGAATATAGAATTAGAAAAGGAGAAGAAACACAAGATTATGTTCTTGATATAGTCCTCCATATTAGGGTTATATGCTAAACTGACCACTCTTTTTTGTTTGTTTGTTTTTCTAATTCATTCATTAGTCATTTTACTACCAATTAATTAAAATGATTAATAGCCCTAACTTTTAGAGAGAAGTTTAGAACAATAGGATGTTTTATTTCACTCAGGTTTATATTAGGAGGCTGATGAAAGCCATTATTCAAGATGACTTAAAATCAAATACACATTTAGTAATTCTTTTCATGCCTAATGTGATAAAATGTGATACAAAATTGACTTTATTTTCATTGAGATAACAAAAATATTATGCTAATGTATTAGTTATTTTTAAGAAATGAATTACAGTGCCTTCTCTCAATGACCAGACATATACATGAAGTATGTATAAAATGGAGTCTACTAATACTGTGTAGATTAAGGAGACTAAAGCAGTAAAATGGACCCTTGGATCCTCATGATTATTCTCATTAAAAAACAAAATCTACACAGTCACATATATTTAATATATTCTTCAAATGTAGTGAAATATACTTAATTTTTCATTAATAACAAAAAGAAAGTTAAAATAAACATTTCAGAAGTCATTAGTGTTTATCAAAATTATTTCCTATGATTACCAGGACACCCACCTTCAGAATTTTCTCTTAAACCAGGCTAATTGACATAAACAGTTTAAAATTGATCTCTGACACATATAACTTGTTTTAGATGTGGCCAGAATCAGAATGAGTTCCTTCTCAGTTAAGTCTAATTTTGATTTTCATTTTTTTAAAATATGAAGTAGTTGGATTTGGTGATGAAGCAATATCTCATGGTAATTAAATTAACTGTGTTGCCTATATGAAACAATCTTTAAATTTAATTTACATGTTTTGTTGAGTTTACCCGGAGCTCTACTTTAGGGAGGAAAACAGAAATAATTCTGCTCATTAACAGGGCTTTGCTTCCAAAATGGGAATTCTGATCGCTTTGTATGCTCTTCTAGGACCAAAATGATTGGCAATGAACCAGCCAATCATAATGCTATTAGAGCATATGAAGTGGATTCAATGGGCAGGTCCTTTTTTGTGCCACATTAAGTTGCAAGCTGGCACGATTTCTTGTTCAGAATGTTTTATTACAGGAATTCTGTATTTTATGCTCCACTTTTTGAAACAAGTGACATTTCTCTTCTGAGAAAAGTGAACTCTTTTCAGATTTATGCCTAAGTGATTTCAGCGTAAAAGACAATAGTCACAAGTGTCTTGTTCAACTTGTTTGTAACAGGTGGTAATTATAGGTCAATGTTAGAAGAGTTTTTAGGCTCATAAAAGGAAATTTGACGAAGGGACTGCTGTTAAGTAAATTAACTTAATAATGATGTTAGCAGTGTGGTGAGGGACCATTCTCTTTCATTCTCTTTGTTCCCTTGCTGATTCTTGGCCTGTGTGTCTGAGCTTGTACTCAAAGTTCTCAGGATCTGGAACGTGCACATCGTGGTGCTAGGTCAACCCTCTCTCCTACTTCTCCCATATGCTCTTATCTGTGTGTGAAAAGGTGCAGGAAGCACCACGCTGATTTGTATTGTGGCCTGTTTTTCAGGAGAATGTGCTAATTTTCTTTTTCATTCCCTGTCTTCCCATTTCTCTACATGCCATCCCTACCCTGACATAGGTACTGAATCTCTTTCTGGCTTTATTATTAAGCTCATTTAGTTCAGACAATCTTTCAGCAATTGAAGAAGACACTGATGCAAACAATCTCCAGATTGCAGTGACCAGAATTAAGAAGGGGATAAATTATGTGAAACAAACGTTACGTGAACTTATCCTAAAAGCATTTTCCAAAAAGCCCAAGATTTCCAAGGAGATAAGACAAGCCGAAGATCTAAATAGTAAGAAGGAAAACTATATCTCTAACCGTACACTTGCTGAAATGAGCAAAGATTATAACTTCCACAAGGAAAAAGATAAAATCAGTGGTTTTGGAAGTAGCATGGACAAATACTTGATGGAAGAAAGTGATCATCAATCATTTATCCATAATCCCAGCCTCACGGTGACAGTACCAATTGCACCTGGGGAATCTGATTTGGAAAATATGAACACTGAGGAACTTAGCAGTGATTCAGAGAGTGAATACAGCAAAGAGGTAAGATTGTTTTATGTACATTGTGTTTCATATAAATTAGTATCAAATAAATAAAAATTTAGATATTTATTGGCAGAGTTCTTTCTAGCATTGCATTTCTGATGATTAATTTTATGTGCAGTTTAGCTTCCTGAAGACTTAATCTCATAAAGTATGATTATTAATAATTGTCTTAATCTTAGCTACCAGCTAAGTACCAGCTTGTTCTTCTCAATCTTCATCCCATGTTTGATGCTAGTTGTAAAGTCATACACAGTCTCTTTGCATTGTGTCAGTTAAATCCACCTCCTTCTGTGTCACCTTTACACCTTTATCTTTATACTCACTATTTCTTTCCTAACCATTACAAGTGGAGTCCCAAATGGTCCCTCTGTCTCCATTTTCCATCTACCCTAGTCAACTTACCTGGTTCATTTTACTTAGATTCAATCTTAATTATGTCATTTTTGTAATGTGTCTCCAGTCTCTAAAGTCTGCTGACTTACATACTGAACATAAAGCCTTCATACTGTGTCCCCAACTTCCTTGATCAGGAGCATCTCCTAGTACTCACTCATAAACCCACTACCCATAGCAAAGCAATTTCCTTCTAAGTCATAAATACTCTCTACCTGTGTCACTTTGCTTGTGATTTCCATCTCCAGTCAAAATTCTATGTGCGTTTCTCAAGGCATGACCCTCATGTTCTTCATCTGTAAAACTCTTGCTACCTAAATCATAGTTGCATAAGCCTTAAATAACTTAACATATTAACATACATAAAATGTTTTAAATAATACTCAAAAGTGCTGAAAATTGTTATGTATCACACCTCTTGATTTTCCCCAAAATGGATGTAACTTTTATCATTTTGAAGGCTATGCAATTTTATGTGTCTTTGTGAATTTATAATTTAGTTTATTGCTTTTTTTAACTTTGGAAAAATTGTGATTTATATCAAATAGTACTGTAAATTCTTTGAAAATAGGATTTTCTTTAAACACAATTTTTTGAATCCTCCACATCAGCTTTAACTTATGTATAAAAATCTAAGTGGGTCAAGGTATGCATGCAACTTCTATTAATATGTGAAATTTAACAGCCATTAGTATGATCACAAATTATTTTATGGTATTGGTATTGAAGTTTCAATATATCATTTAAAGTAATTTTGTTCTTTTTTTAGGTCAAGTTAGAAATTATTTGTCAGATATTTACCAGATGTCTTCTGTCTGCTTAATCTTATTAAAACTTGCCTTCCAAGAATTTATAATACATTTGGGAAAATATTATATTGAATATTGATTGTCAATACATTCTTGTTTATTTCATTTCCATGGTATACAGCACCATAGTATACAGGAGATTAGAGCCACCTTAGATGGTATAATAAAATGCATGAGCTAATCTTTTTAAAAATTATTTATTTTATTTCTGTGAGAGGCAAACACATTCACACTCACAGAGGTTGGGGAGAGTGAGAGTGAGAGAGAAAGAGAGACATCTATCTCTCTTTTCCTGGTTCACTCCCCCATGCCTGTAACAACTGGGGCTGAGTGAGGCCTAATGCAGAACCTAAAACTCAATCACAACATCCCAGATGATTGGCAGGCACATCACCTGCTGCTTCCTGGTTTACATATCATCAGGAAGCTAGAATCAGGAATGAGCCAGGACTTGGACCCAGGAACTTCAATATAGCATATGGGCATCTCAAAAGGAGCTTTACGCACTGTGTCACATGCCCACCTTGGGCTAATCTTTTTAAATCACTAAGCACAGTATTTGAGTTAGAAACCTTAAAATTTTAGCTTTTATTATAATCTTTGAATTCATCGTCATTATTATCATCTAAAAAGTTCAGATTCTGGAGCTGACATTGCAGCATAGCAGGTAAAGCTGCTGTCTGCAATGCCAGCATCCCCTATGGGTACCTGTTTGTGTTCCAGCTGCTCCACTTCCTATCCATAGCCCTGCTAATGGCCTGGGAAAAGCAGCAGAAGATTTCTCAAGTGTTTGGGCTCTTCCACTCATGTGGGAGACGTGGATGAAGTTCCTGTATTCTGCCTGGTTCAGTGCTGCCATTTGCAGCTATCTGGGAAGTGAACCAGCAGATGAAAGATCTCTCTGTGTCTCTCCCTTTCTGTAACTCTTTCAAAATAAATAAATAAATAAATCTAAAAAAAACAAAACAAAACAAAAACAATTTCAGGTTCTAGTGCCACTGCCTGAAGATTTTCCCTTTTTTGTAAGAAATACTGAAGTGTATTGTCCAGAGTACATTCAACCCAGTTATTACAGACAGTTCAGAGTTATTACACCGTGACCATGAAGGAAATATCTACGTAGTTTTGTAGGGCCTTTCTCTCCAGCTATTTTAGATGAAAATGCTGATAGTAAACTTGTTTTTCAATCTGGAGCACAATAAAATGTAGATTATTAAAATATTTATTATTTGAGAAGCAAATGAAGAGAGAGAGAGAACATGGCTCCATGTGTTGATTCACTTCCCAGATGCTTACAACAGGGATAGGGAGTACCAAGGCCAGGGCCAAATTCAGGGATTCAATCAAGGTCTCCTGTGTGGGTGGCAGGGACCCAATCTCTTGAGCCATCTCTGCTGCCGCCTTGAGTTTGCACTAGCAGGGAGCTGAAACTAGGAGCTGGCGCTGGGACTCAAAGCCTGGTGCTCCAGTTTTAGAGGCAGGCGTCCAAACAGCCGCGCCAACAGCCTGACGTTCTGTGCCTGCCCACAGCGTCTCCAACCCTATCATGCTAACTCGCCCTAACTCTCATAAGTTTTAGCTTCTGTCTGACTTCCCAGATTCTTGAGCTGCTGATTCCATCTTTTCTTTTTTCCATGCCTAAGAACAATTTAAAATAGTGATTATTACAGTTTTGATGAACTTTGATGAGCCAATAAGGCCAATCTTGATCACCCAACAGAGAGTATCTCCTGATTCAAAGCTTTAGGTCACATAGTCTCAACGCTACCTTAGACTGTGGTTAAGAAGGCAGCCTCTGAAGTAGAGTATGTGCCTCACACCCTAGCATTGACATTACTAATTCTATGATTTTGGGCAATTTACAAAAATCCTTCTTTTTTAAAAAAAAATTACTTATATGTAAAATAGAATTGTAATGAACATTACAAGATTCAAGTGAATAATTAGACAAATGTCTGTTCAAGAGAAGTGCTCCCTGAGCGATTATTACAGGTATAGAATTGAGCACGCACACTGTCCATAGCTATTTGGTGCAGTTTAAATTTCAGACACACAGCATGATGTCGATCCAGGGTTCACAATTTTAGTGTGTGAAAGACACGACTTGGGTGGCTTCTCTAGAAAAGCCTGTTCTGGGTTATACCCTATGAGCTCTGCTTAAATCTGGAGGATAACTCAAAATACTTATCCGCAGTGTTCCCAACGACTGCCGTGATGGAAAATTCACCTGACTTCTTCCCAGGGTAGTTTAAATTCATATTTCTGAGCTTCATTTTCTTTATACAGAGACTGATGATATATTTCCCCTGGGCCTGTTTAAAGTCCTGCATTTTGAATGAAGGGAAAGAACATCTCTGATCTTTGACACTCTCCATCTTTCCTTCTCTTCACTCCACAAGCTCTCTTTGAAGGACTAGTATCCTATCCCCCGTGCATTATATGGGGAATTCTCAGTCCTCTAGTGTCAACTCAGGTAAACAGTGTTCCTTGCTTTGGTATACAGTTAAATATACATTCCTGAAGCAAGCCAAAATATTTGATATAGAACATCTTACAAGAAAATGACCATATAGATGAGTCAAATAAAGGATTTTGCAAGGTGACTTAAACAGTTCAGAGAAACCAGTTGGCTGTAGAACCAGCACTTCTCTGAAGCTAAAGTCAGTCTAACAATTAAGAAACACACACTGTCATCTCCAGACTTCTCTGTGAGAGTAAGACTCCTGTCACTGCTTCTCAGAATGCAGGCATCGAGTTCATGGCTCCTCCTAAAGTCAGCCATCTCCTGAGGTGCAGTGAGCACACTGCAAGCATTAGCAACACACTACACAGATTTTTACCATTAGCATCAAAGTGCCTCTGCACTGCGGACCTCAAATGAAGCATGAAACGTGCTCATTCATCCCGTAAATATTTGTTACATCCTACTATGCTCCAGGCACTGTGCTATGAATTGTTAAGGGAAAAAAATCCTTCTGTCACCCAGCTGCAATAATTTAATTTATGCCTTCACATTCTAGTTAAAGTACAAGAGCTCAGGGCCTGGATATGGAAGGCTGTAAGCTGTTTCAAGGATGTATTCAATTTCTAGGACTGTCATAACAAAATGTCACAAACTTGGTAGCTTAAAAAACAAGAAAATTTTTTTTAATAGTTCTTGGGGCTGGGAAACTGAAAGCGAGGTATCAGTAGGGTCGTTCTCGCTCGATGCAGGCTCTAGGGAGGGACATCCCTTGCTTCTTCCTCACTTGTGGTGGCTTAGAAATCCCTGCAGCTTACAGATGCATCACCCACTCTCAGGCCTTCTCTTCATGTGGTGGTCTTGTGTGTCCATCTTCTCCTCGCCCTAGAAAGACACAAGTTATACTGGATTAGGTCCCATACTCATGACCAAATCTTAACTTGATTACATCTGCAAAGGTGCTATTTGTAAATGAGGTCACGTGAAAACGCACCTGGATTAGTACTTTAGCCTATCTTCTGGGGATACAATTCAACATATAACAAAGCATTTTTATTTAGAAGGATGGGTGGATATTGATGCTATTAAAAACATGTAGAGGCATCATAGGGTTTAATTTACTGGCTTCTTACTTTGACAGACTGTAGGACAGACAAGTGAAGCTAATAATGTTTGGAAACATAGATCTTCAGGGAAGAAGTGAAGTCAGAGTTGTGGACAAGTTGACATGTTGTGTTAATCCTGGGTTTACACACGGAGTCAATTCCCTAAGAGAGCAACTCTGAGAGAGAAATCTGGGTGTACATTTACTAATGAGTGTTATCAGTAGTAACACCTGTAAAACGATGAGGGCTTCAAAGTGAGCAGAGAGGAACGTTCAACCGCTACAAGTGCAGCAGAGCCCTCAGCTCATCCTACAGCATCTCCAGTGCCAGGGTGATCCTACAGAGTACCAAACTGAAACGAGGGAGTTGGGCCTTTGGGCCCCTCACCGACTAGTCTTTGGGTACAGGCTCTCCCTCTGCCTTCGCAGGGGAAGGAGTGTATCCCTGTGTACATCAGCTCCTTTCTGCAGTAACAGTTCCCAAAGAGGGACTCACCTATAAGCCTGAAGCAGCAGTCCACCCTTATGGCAGCTGGAGGAATGAATGGCTCTCGTGCAAATAAGGGTCTGGGCAGTGCCTCATTGTATCTGCGACATCACAGCAACCACAGAAAGTAAGAGGTCACCTGATTCCCTGCAACACTGGAGAGGTGGATGCACAGAAGAGCCTGAAAAAATCAAGTGTGTACACTTTGACGTGTTTCCTCTTTATGACAGCTCTAGAAAGTTGAAATTATTAATCTGTATTTTTACATTATTAAGATACAAAAAATTTGAAAATGTGTTGTTAGCCACAGATGTGTCTGGGCTCTTTTTAAATTTGAGCTTCAAACTTTTTTTTAACTTTTATTTAATAAATATAAATTTCCAAAGTACAGTTTTTGGATTACAGTGCCTTCCCCCCCCACCCATAACTTCCCTCCCACTCGCAACCCTCCCATCCTCCGCTCCCTCTCCCATCCCATTCACATCAAGATTCATTTTCAATTTTCTTTATATACAGAAGATCAATTTAGTATATACTAAGTAAAGATTTCAACAGTTTGACCACCATACTACCTGCCGTGGAAAGCCAAGAGTGAGGAGAAAATAGTTCATTATTTTTGTGCCTCTGTAATAGTGCAATTCATGACTAAATTTTCCATTATAATGGTTTGGTGCATTGCTAATTTATTATGACTCTAATATTGCCATACTAATTTTGCTTTTAATACTCCTTAATGCTGATATATTATAATACAGTCTGCTTCAATATTCACTGTTAATATTTATAATTTGGATATTTACATTTGTTTCCTCAAAACTGTCTTCTTCCCTTCTTTCATTTAAAGAATCTTTTTTTAAGGATTTATTTATTTATTTATGTATTTGAAAGACAGAGTGAGAGAGAGGGAGAGACAGAGAGAGTCTTCCTGTCCACTGGTCCATTCCCCAAATGGCCACAGTGGCTGGAGCTGGGCCCATCCAAAGCCAGGAGCTTCTTCTGGGTCTCCCATGTGGGTGCAGGTGCCCAAGGACTTGGGCCATCTTCTACTGCTTTCCCAGGCCATTAGCAAGGAGCTGGATCAGAAGTGGAGCAGCTGGGACTAGAACTGGTGCCCACATGGGATGCTGGTATTGCTGGTGGAGGCTTAACTTACAATGCTACAGTGCCAGCCCCTTCTTCCTCTCTTTGATGAACTGATTTTTATGCCTAGACTATATTCATTTCTCAGGACTGTGAACTGTTCACTTTGTTCGTTTACTATGCTCTGAATATTTTTAAATTATAATGTTTTTGTGCATATCTGTATTTTTATTTGTATAAAATTCTCTGGTATATAATATGCCTTTACTGTGCCCTTTAATGCAAATTGTTGATCGATATTACAAACTTCTCTGGACCAAATTTAAGGCTTCTCTGTGAAAGTCTTGCTAAGGTAACTGTTAGAAGTCAGTGACACTAAGGATTCTGTAGCTCCCCCCAGCTCATTAATGAGATGGACAAATGCCTTGGAAACATTGTTAAAGTCCAGATCATTGAATTTATAGCTCTACTTTTTGTGACCTATTGTGTTATATAGAAAACCATTAATATAATTGCCATTATTTTTCTACCCATCACTTTTCTGCTTTCTTTCCAGTTTTGTATTATCTCAGGATAATGTGTACATTTGAGTTTGTTTAATGTTAAACCATCATCATATTAAAGCTATGTGAGTATCAAAGAGCTAGAGACCATATCTGTTACTACATTAAGGTATAACTGTTCGGACCTGAATTATTTTATTAAATATGTTTTACTTAAGGGCACACAAGCAATCTCCATATATATTACTCTCTTGTATTACGTCACTATTTTTGGTCAGCAGTCTATTTAGCTGAATATGATGGGATGCTAAACACACAACTACATAGAGTGTTATATTTAACAATGTCTAGAAATGATCAATCCACATGAATTCCACATTTTAGATTCTATCTGTTTTGCCTTCTACAAGTTTTCACATGTAGCTTTCCTATGCTGTCTTGATACCTTTGGTCAGAAATGACTGTTTTACCTAAAGCCTTATATCCAATTGCTCAACATTAAAGAGGTGGCAAGAGATAGAAGTAGTGCTTGTCATACTCACCTGAGAAAGCCAAAGCTTTCATGAGACTTTGCTTGTATTGGCAGGAATAGTGTGACATTGCAACCACTAAGGACAAGTACCCCAGCTGAGGCAGGACATTCATCTGTGTATACTGCTCCCCTGAATAAAATCTGGACTCTCTTAGTAAGGTGCACTAAAGATATTAACAGGCTCTGATACACTCCTATAATGATTATTGTTATTCCTTTATGAGAATGTTGAAGGAAGTGCAGGGAGATCATTTAATGTTTTAAAAGATGCATATAATTGAAATAATTTAGAAAAATATGTGTGTCTAGTATAATTTTATATTTTGAATTTATGTAACTTATCAAGAAATAAACATAAAATTTTATTTACTGAATTATTGCATATTGGAAAAATACACACAAATAAGAATTTGCAAATATTCAACTATTTTGTATCTACAAAATACAAATTACATTTAGTTCATTGAAATATAAAGTCAGACAAAACTTAAAACAGGATCTTTATTCTACCAATATAATCTTAATTAATAGTTTACTAAACAGTTATTTCACGTGTTTGTTGTATTTGTGTATACTAGAGAAAATATCAGAAATTTCTGTAGCTATGGAAGGCATAGAGTTTTCCTCTCCTAAACTAATTTTTATCAAATATTTTTATACCCTATAAATATTGGGTCTCCAAAAATGCTGTGTAAAAGCTTTTTGCCTTTTACCATTATTTACCTTCAATGATAATAGTAAGCAATCATTGACATCAATATTGTATTGAGTAAGGGACCATTTCAGGCTAAAGGCATATGAAAAGTGGTGGTACTTAAGCCAGAGTGTATAATATAATTTCTTGGGGTGGATATGGTACAGATGGAAATCATAGGCAGAGGAACAGCATTCATATTGTTGACCTGATTCACTCACCCATTTGTCCATCCACCCATTCATCTATTCAATATTAAATTTTGAAAGCCGTCATCTTCCACAGGACTTAAATGCGCTTACTTGTTTTAAAACATTTATTTGATTGACTTGATTAGAAGATTAGATATTTGCAGCCATAAGTGGACTTCAGCATAGGGGTTAAAACACATCCCATGACGTGAGCACTGTGGTGTAGCAGGTAAAAGCTCCTACCTGAGATGCTGACATCCCATTCGGGTGCCCATTGGTGTTGTGGCTGCCCTACTTCTGATCCAGCTCCCTACTAACGGCCTTGGAAAAGCAATGGAAGATGGCGCAAGTGTTTGGGTCCTGCCCCTCAATGTGGGAGACCCTGATGAAGCTGCTGGCTCCTGGCATTTGTCTGGCCCAGAGCTGGTCATTGTGGCTATCTGGGGAGTGAACCAGCAGATGAAAGATCTTTCTCTCTTTCTGTCTCTCTCTCTTTCTCTTTAACTCTGGCTTTCAAAACATAAATTATATTCTTAAAAAAAAAAAAAAAGACCTTGGGGGTGGCGCTGTGGCTCACTTGGTTAATCCTCGCCTGTGGCGCCAGCATCCCATATGGGCACCAGGACCCCTCTTCCAGTCCAGCTCTCTGCTGTGGCCCAGGAAGGCAGTGGAGGATGGCCCAAGTGCTTGGGCCGCTGCACCCGCATGGGAGACCAGGAGAAAGCACCTGGCTCCTGGCTTCGGATTGGCGCAGCGCACCTGCTGTAGCAGCCATCTGGGGGGTGAAACAACAGAAGGAAGACCTTTCTCTCTGTCTCTCACTGTCTAACTCTACCTGTAAAAAAAAAAAAAAAGGGCTGGCGCCGCGGCTCACTAGGCTAATCCTCCGCCTTGTGGCGCCAGCACACCAGGTTCTAGTCCCGGTCGGGGCACCGGATTCTGTCCCCGTTGCCCTTCTTCCAGGCCAGCTCTCTGCTGTGGCCAGGGAGTGCAGTGGAGGATGGCCCAAGTACTTGGGCCCTGCACCAGCATGGGAGACCAGGACAAGTACCTGGCTCCTGCCATCGGATCAGCGCGGTGCGCCGGCCACAGCGCGCCAGCCGCGGCGGCCATTGGAGGGTGACCAAGGCAAAGAGACCTACTGTCAGTCTCTTCTTCTGTATTGACAGAACAACAACAATGACCTCACTCCCCTGTCAGAGTAACTGTGTTAGATTCTTGGGTCCTGACTATAGTGTCTTGCCATAGCACATGCTTGGAAGCAGCAGTGATGGTTCAAGTATATTTGGGTTAAATATTTTAGTCCTTTTACTGTGTGGTGGTTTTAATTATACTGTTATCAGATCTATTTTTCTTTGGTTTTTATCAAAATATATTTCTTCACAAGCAGTTACTGCCTTCATCAAAAGTATAGCTTAGACATTTTCATCTTATTGTACTTGTACTCCAGAAAACATAAGAATATTTTCCTAAAAATGTGTTTGAATTGGCAAGATTAATGATTATTTATACTTATACAATGGGAGGAGATTTGCATTTGATTCAATCTTTTTGTTAATTTCCAGTATTTATTTGAGAAAAAGAAAACATATGTTCCAATCTGTGGGTTTTTCCCCCCAAATGACAGCAACAGCTGGGATTAGAAAAAAATCTAAGCTGAGAGCAAGGAACTCAGTCTAGGTCTCCCATGTGGGTGACATGATCCAAGTTACTTGAGCCATTAGCTGCTGCTTCTTAGTGTCTGTACTAGTAGGAAGCTGGAGTTAGGAACCAGAGCTGGGAATCAAATCTATAGAACCCAATGCGCGATGTGATTATCTTTAACACCAAGCCAGTGACTACCTCTGATACTTTCTTTTATGCATTGATTTTTCAGAAAGCCAATGCTCATCTTTAAAATTTTATTTAGACCAGTTCTTTTTTGCAGGCTAGTTTCAAACTACTTGAAAATTCCTATCTTTATTTAATAGGTGCATGTTCCTAAAAGCAATGATATATTGATCTGTTTCTTATTTACATGTTTCCTATTTACATTTTGGTGAATTTGCAAGCATCACTTTCTTGGAAAGCTGTTTTAAAATATTAAACTTTATTAAACATGCTCCTTAAAACTAAATCAAGAAATGAAAACTTTAGAATATACTTTTTTAGACTTTACATTCTTATTCTTACCCCATATCC